ACCATGCCCAGCTAATTTTTTTTTGTATTTTTAGTAGAGACGGGGTTTCACCATGCTGGCCAGGCTGGTCTCGAACTCCTGACCTTGTGATCCGCCTGCCTCAGCCTCCCAAAGTGCTGGGATTACAGGCGTGAGCCACCATGCCTGTCCCGATATGTTTTTTAAAGACAGAATCTCATTCTGTTGCCAAGGCTGAAGTACAGTGGTATGATCATAGCTCACTGCAGTCTCAACCTCCTGGCCTCAAGCAGTCCTCGCACTTCGGCCTTGCAAAGTGTTGAGATTACAGGTGTGAGTCACAGTGCCCATCCTACACACCTATTAGAATGACCAAAATCCAGAACACTGGCAACATCAAATGCTGGAGAGGATGTGTAGCAACAGGAACTCTCATTCGTTGCTAGTGGGAATGTAAGATGGAAGACTACTTTGTAAGGCAGTTTGGCAGTTTATTAAAAAATGAAACAGGCCAGGCACAGTGGCTCATGCCTGTAATCCCAGATCACGCCAGTGCACTCCAACCTGAGCGACAGAGTGAGACTCCATCTCAAAAAAATAAAAATAAAAATAAATAAAAAATGAAACATACTCTTACCTCATGATCTAGCAATCACGCTCCTCAGTATTTAACAAGGAAGGCATTTACCAAAGGAGTTGAAAGCTTATGTCTACATAAAAGCCCACACATCGTTTTTGTTGTTTTTTGGGTTTTTGTTTGTTTTTTGGGACAGGGTCTCATTCTGTCACCCAGACTGAAGTGCAACGGTGCAATTATAGCTCATTGCAGTCTCAAACTCCAGGACTCAGGTGATTCTCCTACCTCAGCCTCCTGAGTAGTTAGGATTATAGGCATGTGCTACCACACCAGGCCGGAAACTTCTATTAGATATCCTTTTGTAGCTATTGAGTTTTAAGTTGTATGAATGCATTGCATTGCATTTCAAATTTAAAATACAATTTTAAAAATAAGAATGTTAACTAGATAATTATGTAATAACTTAAAGACTTTGCCTGCCAGAATTTTAGTAAAATGTATTTATTTGGTTTTCAATCATTTTAAAAATTCTTCATTTCTTGAAGATTTATCTAATTTCTCTACCAAGTGTACACAGTAATAACAGCAACAAGAAAATTACCATCAGGGAGACATCAAAGCAGTATAATGAAACTAGTTTAGCAAGAAGGGGTGCAAATAAGAAACAAATACTCAGAGGATCTCAGCTTTTTATTTTAAAAAAATTGAAAGATTAGTACAATGAACATGCATATTAGATTTTATGAATTAAATATGTTACAGGACCATTTTGGAGAGAATTATGTATCTCATGGTGGGGATTCCTGGGGAATCTTTAATGAAGGATAAACTCCAAGGGCCAGAAAAGGTGTTCACCACACTTTTTCTCCTACCCTTTGCCCCACACAATCCCTTACTTACAGAGGAACTGCCCTTATTCAGGAGCTGTGCTTGCTTATTCAGCTCCTTATTCAGGAGCTGTTCGCTGTTCTTGCTAGCCTACGTCCCAAAGAAGACCCAAAAAATACACCGTTTTTTCTTAAAAACATTCTTCACACTTGGTCTGATGATTTTTACTTGTTAAATGTAATCCGTTGTCCGGGCGCAGTGGCTCACACCTGTAATCCTAGCACTTTGGGAGGCCGAGGCAGGTGGATCACCTGAGGTCAGGAGTTCAAGACCAGCCTGGCCAAATGGCGAAACACGGTCTCTGTTAAAAATACAAAAGTTAGCTGGGTGTGGTGGCAGGCACCTATAATCCCAGCTACTTGGGAGGCTGAGGCAGGAGAATCGCTAGAACCCAGGAGGCAGAGGTTGCAGCAAGCCAAGATTACGCCATTGCACTCCAGCCTGGGTCAAAGAGCGAAACTCTGTCTTAAAAAAAAAAAAAAAAATGCAATCCATTGAAAACTTTTTCTTCTAAGTTATTTCTAATTAATTCAGTATAAGTATAAAATTGAATTCAATTGTTTCAATAATAGTATATACAGAATTCTAAATTATAACTCCATCAGTTTCTTTAAAGCTTTTTGGTTTAACCTTTTCACAATATTTGGTCTCTACTTCCATTGCTATGCAATTTGCTGAGGCAAGATATCTCTCTGGAGTGGAGTAGTGCAGTCACAGCTCACTGCCCCCTCGACATCCTGGGCCCGAGTGACCATCTCACCTCAACCTCTCGAGTAGCTGGGACCACAGGTGCGCACCACCATGACCAGCTAATTTTCTCTATTTTTTGTAGAAATAGGGTCTTGCTTTGTTGCCTAGGCTGGTCTCAAACTCCTGGGCTCAAGCAATCCTTCCACCTCGGCCTCCCAAAGTGCTGGGATTGCAGGTGTGAGCCCCCACACCTGGCCTGTTTGTTTTTTCAATCCCATGATTTACCTTTCTGTGTCACCTATGCCTGAGACTTGGTAACCATCTCTTCACATACTTACAGTTAATTGTTCATCATTCATCACACCTGGATGTCTTGCATTTGACTGAACTTGCCCAGTTCTTTTCACAATTTCCCATAGGTCTAATTTCACAAACCTTTAATCAGTTGCTGTTCTCTGAATACTGTCCAAGTTTTTTCTCTTTATATAGTATGACAGGTAAAATTAAATATAGTTTGTTCCAACTGAAGCCTGCCCAGTGCCAAATAAAGCAAAAATAATTGCTTCCCTCCTTTTTCATGCATATGCCTTAATACAATCCTAGGAAATATTTGTCTCTTATTTCAACTCATCTAACTTAACACCAACCATAATTGTTGGCTCTCCGTTGGCTGTTTCATCTACAGCTGCCTTTCCAGTATTTCCACATGCTTGCTGCAATTCAGTAGCATGTTAAAAGTTACATGTTACATTTCTAAGAGGATTTCTTTCACACATTTTTTTATTTAAAAATTGCCCCATGAACAACGTGAATGTAGTGTTTGGGGCCTCAAGAACTAAGGCTTGAACAATTCCAAGTACTTTTGTGGTGGGACCTGGAAAGACGGATTTAGATGGAGAGGTGCCGGGAGAGACTGCTAAAAACTGGAGGAAGATGGCTGCCTTTGGTTTTCTCTTTCTTTTTGTTTTTTGAGACAGACTTTCGCTCTTGTGGCCCAGGCTGGAGTGCAGTGGTATGATCTCGGCTCACTGCAACTTCCATCTCCCAGGCAAGCGATTCTCCTGCCTCAGCCTCCAGAGTAGCTGGGACTACAGCCGCCTGCCACCACGCCCAGCTAACCATGTATTTTTAGTAGAGACAGGGTTTCACCATGTTGGCCAGGCTGGTCTCAAACTCTCGACTTTGGGTAATCTGCCCGCCTTGGTCTCCCCGAGTGGTGGGATTACAGGTGTGAGCCACCGTGCCTGACCAACTGCCTTTGTTTTCTCCTGTCACAGTTCTTTGGTTGTAAGCAAGGGAAACCAATTTCAGCTAACGTAAGCAAAGGGGAATTTGTTGGAACTATATCAGAGGATTTTTCAGTTTACTGGAGAATCATGCTCAGAAACTGCAAACACCAAGAATGCTCCCAAAAGTAGGAATCTCAGCCATAGTTTATAAAAGAAGAGAGCCGGGTGTGGTGGTTCACGACTATATCTCAGTGCTTTGGGAGGCTGGAAGTGGGAGGATTGCTTGAGGCCAAGGGTTGAACATCAGCCTGGGCAACATAGTGAAACCCTGTCTCTACGAAAAATAAGTTTAAAAAATAAGCCAGGCGGCCGGGCGCGGTGGCTCAAGCCTGTAATCCTAGCACTTTGGGAGGCCGAGACGGGCGGATCACGAGGTCAGGAGATCGAGACCATCCTGGCTAACATGGTGAAACCCCGTCTCTACTAAAAAATACAAAAAACTAGCCGGGCGCGGTGGCGGGCGTCTGTAGTCCCAGCTACTCGGGAGGCTGAGGCAGGAGAATGGCGTGAACCCGGGAGGCGGAGCTTGCAGTGAGCTGAGATCGGCCACTGCACTCCAGCCTGGGCGACAGAGCGAGACTCCGTCTCAAAAAAAAAAATAAAATAAAAAAAAATAAAAAAAAAAAAATAAGCCAGGCACAATGGCACGCTCCTGTAATCCTAGCTACTCAGGAGGCTGAGAGAGGATTGCTTGAGCCCAGGAGTTCAAGGCTGCAGTGAGTTATGACTGCACCACTGTACTCCAGCCTGGGCATCAGTGTGAGACCTTGTCTCTTAAAAAAAAAAATCATAGTGTCCATCTTTGGGGACTCTTCCTTGGTTCTTCCCCAGTTTCAAGTTCTAAACAACCCTGGACACTGGATGTGAGGCACTGTGGGGGATTCTAAGAGTAAAAATACACAACCAGTACCCTTCAGGATGTTACAATCTAGGAAGGAGAGAAAGATGCACGAATAATGAAATATAAACCCAAGTGTTAAATATGCTCTAAGAAAAGTAAAATGGGGCCAGGCACACAGGCTCACACCTGTAATCCCAGCACCTTGGGAGACTGAAGCAGGAGGATCACTTGAGCCTAGGAGTTTGAGACCAGCCTGGAAAACATGGTGAGACCATCCTGGAAAACATAGTGAGACCCCGTCTCTAGTTAGAAAAAAATAATAATAATAATAATAATAATTTTAAAAAAATAAAGTAAACCGGGCTTAACGGCGTGAGCCTGTTGTCCCAGCTACTTGGGAGGCTGAGGCAGGAGAATTGCTTGAACCCGGAAGGCGGAGGTTGCAGTGAGCCGAGATGGTGCCACTGCACTCCAGCCTGACAACAGAGTGAGACTCCGTCTCAAAAAGAAAAAAAAGAAAAAGTAAAATGTTCTAAAAGCCAAGTTCCCAATTGTCTCCTGGTTGCAGAGAAATAGATGTTCCCAGTAACTGTCATGGTAACTACGGTTGCCATAAGGTGCATTTAGACTAGCTTTAACAACCTCTCAATTATTTTTTCATTGAACTTCTTCACTCAGATACTACAGTATTTCCAGACAGGTAAGTCCCCTAAGCTATGTAAAAGTCCCCTTAGTGCTTGTTTTATCTTCACCCTAGGAAATCTCACATTCAGAGGATACCTCATCAGCATCATCTGCTCAGATGTCCTCTTGCTCAGCACTTGCAACATTAGTGAAATAACACATTGGTATGTCACTTTTTTGTTTCTTTTCTTTTTTTTTTTTTTTTGAAACGGGGTTTGGCTCTTGTTGCCCAGGCTGGAGGGCAATGGCGTGATCTCACTGCAACCTCCACTTCCTGGGTTCAAGCAATTCTCCTGCCTCAGCCTCCCAAGTAGCTGGAATTACAGATGTGTGCCACCACGTCCTACTAATTTTGTATTTCTTTACTAGTGATGGGGTTTCACCATGTTGGTCAGGCTGGTCTTGAACTCCTGACCTCAAGTAGATCCGCCTACCTCGGCCTCCCAAAGTGCCAGAATTACAGGCATCAGCCACCATGCCCAGCACCCCCCATTTTTTTTTTTTTTTTTTTTCTGTCTTTAGCAGAGACGAGGCCTTGCTATGTTGCTCAGGCTGGTCTTGAACTCCTGAATTCCTGAGCTCTCACCTTAGCCTCCAAAAGTGCTGGGATTACAGGCCTCAGCTACCATGCCTGTCCACATTTTGTTTTTTTGTTTTGTTTTGTTTTGGGTATGTCACATTTTGATATTGGATGATCCAAAATAATTTATCTTGGTATGCAAGATGTTCAAGGAACAAACAAACAAAAATAAACAAGCATCTATAATAAGGTACCAAAGTTTTGAATTATTTATCTGTGTATATGTATGTATACACACACAGACTATTATGAGGCATTTTAGAAATCACTTTCTCACATGCATTCCAATATAATTTCCTGAGAAAGGAGTTTCATGCAGGGAATTATACATAAACCACAACCTATTTTTATGGCCATTTCGAATTACTTTTGTATTTCAAATTCACTTTTTAAAGCTTCACCCACGGGGCAGGAGGACTGCTCAAGCCCAGGGATTCAGGACAGCAGAGAGGTGTGACCATGCCACTGCACTCAAGCATGGGCAACAAAGCGAGACCCCCATCTCTAAAAAATTTAATAAATAAAGGAAACTTCACTCATGCCCACAGAAGAGAAAATTGTGAATGAGTGCATCAACATCTACAGTACGCAAAAACAGTAGCTCTGAACAGTGTTAGTAGGGTCCTAACAGTTACGATAGCCCAGTGAAAACTCTCAAAGGAAAGTGAAAATCTTCCTTATGTTAATAACATGGAGGGACTCTACCAATTTTATGTTTTTAACAATAAATTTTATGCCTTTTCAGATAATGTGTACTTGTTTTATTGGTACTGTGAGTAAAGGTTGGGGGAGAAATCATAATATTTAAAAATTAGATATGCTACATTTTGGTGATTCTTACATAACTGATTTCACTATTGTTGAATTCTTAACGTTAAGTGAACATGTTTTTGTTTTTGTTTTTTGTTTTGTTTGACAGACAAGGTCTCACTCTATCATCCTGGTTGAAGTGCAGTGGTGTGAACACAGCTCACTGCAGCCTCAGCTTCCTGGGCTCAAGTGATCCTCCCCTAACACCTCAGCTTCCCGAGTAGCTGGGACTACAGGTGTATGCCACCATGCCCCGCTAATTTTTTTTATGTGTTATAGAGGCAGTGTCTCGCTTGTTGCCTAGGCAGATCTGGAACTCCTGGGCTTAAGTGATCCTCCCACCTTGGCCTCCCATAGAGTTGGGATTATAGGTGTGAGCCACTGGGCCCAAGGCTTGTTTTTCTTTTTCTGAAACAGTCTTACTCTGTTGCCCAGGCTGGAGTGCAGTGGCATGATCAGAGCTCACTGCGGCCATGACTTCCCGGGCTCAAGCGTCCTCCCTTCTGAGCCTCCTTAGTAGCTGGAACTACAGGTGCTCACCATTACACCAGACTAATTTTTTTAATTTTTAATTTTTGTAGAGATGGGGTCTCACTATGTTGCCCAGGGTAGTCTCAAACTCATGGGCTCAAGTGATTCTCCTGCCTCCGCCTCCCCAAGTGCTGGGATTATAGGCATGAGCCACCATGATGCCTAGCCTTAAGTGAATATTTAACAAAATGACTTTGTAGTATTATTTTCTTCATGTACCAATAAAATTGTTGTGGGGTGTTTCCCCCCACCCAAATTTGAGTACATCCATGGAAATACATCACTGAGATAAGCATCATCCATTCTTTGTGATAATGTGGAAGAAAGATTAAGAAACTGCCCTTTAGTACTCTCAGGATCTTTGGGGATAGTTCAGAAATCACTAACCGTTACTAGAAATTTGATTGGGTTTTTTAGGGATAATCCAAAAATCATCAAGTATTGATGGAACTTTATCATTCTAAACTTCTTAGAGACTTAAAATTATTTCTTGGAAACTTAAAATTCACGCTAATGCTGGAATGCCACTAGCATCCATGAACATATCATTTTAAGTAAGAGGTGGTATATTCTACTCTCCTCTTCAGTTCAGGCCATTGTGATAATGTGCTTATAGATGTGGTAATGCCTCCTCTTGGTACCAAAGGCACATTCATTAGCTTTGTCAAAATAAATGATACCAGTGATACTGATTTCTTGCACTCTCAGTGACGTAACAGGATTTCAATGAAACAGTCCCTTTAGTTTTTACTCTTTTATCACAGCCCCCTAAAATTACAACCCACTTAAATTTGAACTCTGGTGTGAATCTGTATGAGCTATTATGGGTGAGACCCTCAGAATTATCCTTTCAGACCCTCAGAATTATCCTTTCGCTGAGACACTGGTTTAGTCAGAGATCATTCTTCATGGGTTTTGCATTTCTGCACGTCTGGCGAGTGAAGCACTGACTGCCCTTCATTCAGGACTCTCACTTCAGGGATGTTTGTAGAGCAGTCTTAGAGGCTAGGAATAAGGTTTTCCAGAGCGAAGGGCAAGCAAGTTTATTGCCATTATAAAAGATTCCGGCTCCTGAAGCTGAAGGTTCCTCTTCTATAATACAGCCCACTGCAAGGGCAGATGCCATCTGGCCTTCTTTGCCTCTCCCTGTGGAAATGGGGACTTTGCAAACTAATGCCAAAAACAAACCACAAAACGGATACTCTGGCTATTACTATTGCTATTGCTGTAAGAAACTCTTCATTCTGGCTCAGGACTATGATGTCTTCTGCCAGCATCCATGTGCCAGGCGAACTTTTTAGCTTGTAAGTTGGGTGAAATCTGAGATTGTTTACAGTTTTTCACATTGCCTCAAACCAAATGCACAAGCTGTGACTCCCAAAAGGCTATCTTGTCCCTTATGTGAATATATTCTCAGGTGGACTAACTCCACCAGTGTTCCAGATGGACGCCCCCGTGGCTGAGTCCTAGAGGGAACAGAGCTTAGACTCAAATCAGGACCCCTGCTACACAACTCTGCCAGTGTAAATTACTGTCATCATCCAAAGGCAGACTTCTCACTGTGCTCATTATGATGCCTATGTTATAAGTAAGGAGGCCCTCCCCCTGGAAATATACTCGGCCTCTATCCTGCAGCTTTGTATCCCATGGCTCCCATGAAGTCTTCTTCAGTTATTCCACCTGTGTTAGATCTTTTTCAGTTGCATAGAACAGAAACTCAGCTTATAATTAAAGATTAAACACTGGCTAATGACCAAACACTAAAGTGTTGAACACATTCATTACTTGGTTTGCTTATCCTTTTATTCTCACAGCTAATTCCCTTGAGATACATACATACATATATATATACATACACACACACACACACACACACACACACTGACTGGCTGGGCATGGTGGCTCACACCTGTAATCCAGCACTTTGGGAGGCCGAGGCAGGTGGATCACTTGAGATCAGGAGTTCAAGACCAGCCTGGCCAACCTGGTGAAACCCTGTCTTTACTAGAAATACCAAAAAATGGCTGGGCACGGTGTCTCACGCCTGTAATCCCAGCACTTTGGGAGGCCAAGGTGGGCAGATCACAAGGTCAGGAGATCAAGACCACCCTGGCCAACATAGTGAAACCCTGTCTCTACTAAAAATACAAAAATTAACTGGGCATGGTGGCTCATGCCTGTAATCCCAGCACTCGGGAGGCTGAGGAAGGAGAATCGCTTGAACCAGGGAGTTAGAGGTTGCAGTGAGCCAAGATCATGCCACTGCACTCCAGCCTGGTGACAGAGCAAGACTGTCTCAAAAAATAAAAATAAAAAAAAGAAATACGGCCTGGTGAGGTGGCTCATACCTGTAATCCCAGCACTTTGGGAGGCCGAGGCGGGCAGATCACCTGAGGTCGGGAGTTCAAGATCAGCCTGACCGACATGGAGAAACCCCATCTCTACTAAAAGCACAAAATTAGCCAGGCGTGGTGGTGCATACCTGTAATCCCAGCTAGTTGGGAGGCTGAGGCAGGAGAATCACTTGAACCTGGGAGGAGGTTGCAGTGAGTTGAAATCACACCACTGCACTCCAGCCTGGGCAACAGATTGAGATTCTGTCTCAAAAAATAAAAATAAAATAAATAAATAAAAGTGCTGACTGAGTTTATTTCCTGGTTTAAAATGGAAACTTATAAAGTTCAGGCATAAATGTAAAATGAAAACATCTTTTTACTAATAACCCTAATGGCATTCTTGTCAGTAGGATTAAGAACGTTAGCCTGTAACAGAAGGAGCCTAAGAGCCTATTTACATTTCTGGAGCTAAAGGCAATGCACCCCAGAGACCCATTTTATCCCCTTCATTTTCTTCTTACCAGAAGAGCAACTCAGGATCCTTGCTTCTACACATTCCTGAGCATTTTCTTCTCCATATCTTTTTTCCAAAAGATGTCCTTTCCTGCTTACACAGAAAGGTGGAGAAAAAAAAGTCAAAGGATACAATTTCCACTTTCTTTTACCCATGCTATGTGCCCAATTATGTCTCCCCAAAGATTCACATATTGAAATCCGTAAATACCTCAGAATGGGAGTGTATTTGGACATAGGATCTTTAGAGAGGTAATTAGAGTAAAATGAGGTCATTAGAGTGGGCCTCCTTTTTCCCTTTTAATAATAGATTCCCTGGCTGGGCACAGGGAATCGCTTGAACCAAGGAGGCAAAGGTTGCAGTGCGCCGAGATCCTGCCATTGCACTCCAGCCTGGGCGACAAGAACAAAATTCCATCTCAAAAATAAAAATAAAAATAAATAATAGATCCCCTCTCCACTCAAAATGATGGGTGGGCACATGGCTTCCTAGCTGGAGACATTTCCCAACTTCCCTTGCAAATCAGTGTGGCCATTTGAACTAGGTTTTGGTTAATGAAATGTGAGTGGAAGTAATCAGGATTCTTCTGCTTTAATGGCCTCAAGAATGAACTTGCCTACTCTCCACACATTGCCTTACTCAGGGCTGGAATGTGGACAAGGTACTGATGAGCTACTTCAACCCCATGTGGTTGAAGACAACTGCTTGTTACTCAGATACGGAATCTACATGCAGAGGCAAGTAGACACACGGCCAGCTGGGTCCCTGGATGAACTCTTGTCTATCTTCACAACTGTTACAGGGGAGAAATAAACATTTCTTATTTAAAGCAATGCTATTACAGCAAATTAGCCTAAACATTAACTAATACAGCCAGCAGTAAATGAGTACTTTTGTGTCAGGCAGTGTATTCAGCTTCTATATAGATTATCTGTTTTAACCCTCACAGCAGCCCTGTGATCTCGATTCTGCTATTAACCCTGTTCTATCAATGAAGAAATTGAGGCACAAAGTGGCTCAAGTAATTTGACCAAGATAATGCAGCTAGCAGATGGTGGAGCTAGGAAGTATACTTAGGCAGTTGACTTCAAAAACTACTTTTTAGAAAACACTTATACACTGTCGGTGGAAATGTAAATTACCAAAACCTCTATGGCAAACAGTTTGGAGATTTCTCAAATAACTAAAAATAGAACTTCCATTTGATTGAGCAATCCCATTAGTGGGTATCTATCCAAAGGAAAAGCAATCACTGTATAAAAAAGAAAAAAATGATACTTGCACTCATATGTTTATCACAGCACTATGCACAATAGCAAAGATATGGAATCAACCTGAGTGTTGTCCATCAACAAATGATGGGATACAGAAAATGTGATATGTGTGTGTACATACATACATACATATACATATATACACACACACACACACACACACATATATATATATATATTTTTTTTTTTTTTTGAGACAAAGTCTGGCTCTATCACCCAGGGTAGAGTGCAGTGGCATGATCTCGGCTCGCTGGAACCTCTGCCTCCTGGACTCAAGCCATCCTCCCACCTCAGTCTTCCGAGTGGCTGGAACTACACGCACAGGCCACCACACCCGGCTAATTTTTGTATTTTTTGTAGAAACAAGGTTTCAGGCCAAGTGCAGTGGCTCACCACATGTAATCCTAGTGCTTTGGGAGGCCAAGGCAAGCGGATCACCTGAGGTCAGGAGCTGGAGACCACCCTGGCCAACATGGTGAAAGCCTGTCTCTATTAAAAATATAAAAATTAGCTGGGTGTGGTGGTGTGCGCCTGTAGTCCCAGCTACTTGGGAGGCTGAAGCAGGAGATTCACTTGAACCCAGGAGGCGGAGGTTGCAGTGAGCCGAGATTGTGCCACTGCACTCCAGCCTGGAGTGACAGTGAGACTCCATGTCAAAAAAAAAAAAAAAAATTAGAAAAGAGTTTTTGCCATGTTGCCCAGGCTGTTCTCAAAATCATGAGCTGCAGCAATCTGCCTGCCTCAGCCTCCTAAAGTGCTGGGATCATAGTCCTGAGTCACCAAACCTAGCCTGGCGTGTGTGTGTGTGTGTGTGTGTGTATACACATGTATATATATGTATATGTATATATGTATGTGTATATATACACATATATATGTGTGTGTGTGTGTATATATATATCCTGCCTCAGCCTCCCGAGTACCTGGAATTACAGGCACACGCCATCACTCTCTGCTAATTTTGTATTTTTAGTAGAAACGGGGTTTCTCCATGTTGGCCAGGCTTGTCTCGAACTCCCAACCTCAGGTGATCCACCCACCTCAGCCTCCCAAAGTGTTGGGATTACAGGCATGAGCCACCACACCTGGCCCATACATACATATATATATTATAGTGGAATACTATTTAGCCATAAAAAATGAAATCGTATCTTTTGTAGCAACATGGGTGGAACTGGAGGCCACTGTTTTAAATGAAACAACTCAGAAACAGAAAGTCAAATACCACATGTTCTCACTTATACATGGGAGCTAAATAATGTGTACACATGGACATAGAGTGTGGACCAATAGACACTGGAGACTAGGAAGGGTGGGTGGGTGGGAGGGGTAGAGGAGTGAAAAATTATTTAATGGGTACAATATACATTATTTTGGTGATGGTTACACTAAAAGCCCAGACCTCACCACTACAATATATTCACATCACAAAACTGCACTTGTATCCCTTACATTTATACCAAAAAGCAATCTTTTACTGGTTAGCTTTAGTATATCCCCTGAGAGAATTTGAGATGCTTTGCAGGGGCTAAAAATAGAGGCATTCCTGTTCTACCAATCAATTTTGTTCAGTTTCCTGTCTAGTACCTGCATAAGAAAAATGAATTTTTAAAATTATTGGTGATTTTAATGTATTTATCTTTTGCATTATAAAACCCTACTCTGGAAGATACTCTTTAGACATTCCAGATATTGGAATTTTATGTACAGTAAAATTTCCAAAATAATTTTGGAGACTAACATGGACTTACTTTCTTCTTTCTTCCCCTTCCTTCCTTCCTTCCTTCCTTCCTTCCTTCCTTCCTTCCTTCCTTCCTTCCTTCCTCCCTCCCTCCCTCCCTCCCTTCCTTCCTTCCTTCCTTCCTTTTCTTTTTCTTTCCTTCTTTCTTTCTTTCTCTCTCCTTCCTGGCTCTCTCCCTCCTTCCTCTCTCTCTCCTTTTTTCCTGTCTCCTTCCTTCCTCTCTCTCCTTCCTTCCCCTTCCTTCCTTTTCTTTCTTTTCTTTCTTGACAGAGTCTTACTCTGTCACCTAGGTGGAAGTACAGTGGTGCAATCTCGGCTCGCTTCCCAGGCTCAAGTGATTCTCATGCCTCAGCCGCCCGACTACCTGGGACTACAGGCATGCATCACCATGCCTGGATAATTTTTGTATTTTTCAGTAGAGACAGGGTTTCACCATGTTGGTCAGGCTGGTCTCGAACTCCTGATCTCAGGTGCTAGGATTATAGGCATGAGCCACCGCGCCTGGCCTAACATGGAGTTTTTTTAACTTTTTTTGGTCAAGGTGAGTCCCTTGAAATGTTAAAAACGTATTCATTCCCATCATTCACAAAAAGGACATTTTAACTCCAAGATAAATAGGAGAGTCAAAGACTGGACCAAAAAAGGAATATATTATAATTAAACGGGATAAATTTTTCTTCCACTGTTTGGTGCTTGAAATCTATCACCTTCCAGCCAGTGGAAGTGAGCCTCTGATGATGAAAAGGGTATTTTCTCTAAGTTTACTTTAACAACAGTCATCATTGGGCCATTTAAAATTCTTGGCAGGAGTTGGGCACGGTGCCTCATTCCTGTAAATCCCAGCATTTTGGGAGGCCGAGATGGGTGGATCACGAGGTCAGGAGTTCAAGACCAGCCTGGCCAACATGGTGAAACCCCATCTCTACAAATACAAAAATTAGCTGGGGGCAGTGGTGTGCGCCTGTAGTCCCAGCTACTCAGGAGGCTGAGGCAGGAGAACTACTTGAACCTGGGAAGCAGAGGTTGCAGTGGGCCGAGATCACACCCATTGCACTCCAGCCTGGGTGACAGAGTGAGAATCCGTCTTAAAAAAAAAAATTCTTGGCAGGGCCTGGTGTCTACAAATCATACATTTCTTTAATGTGAAGGCAGCACTACCTGTAGCAGGATATTGCTTCACACATCTAACCTCTTGTAGTTTATTTCACTAAACTGAATTTTACAACATGGAAATAGTATGTACCTTATTTCCTCACATACTTCCATCTCATAAAATTTCTCCTAGAACCTCTTTTGAGTATCAAATAAAAGGTGACTTTTATGGTTTTAAAGTCTCTCTGTTCTCCCTCTCCCAGCTCCCCACCTAGATAGGCTGCCATTATGATCGCTGACAGGAAAACTGTTAGATTTAAAATTACTGTTTATGTTATTGTCTGTGCAGGAACATTAAAAAAATAATTTGTGTCTCATTCTGCTGTAGAGACAAAAATACTTTTTTTTTGTTTTTTGAGATGGAGTTTTGCTTGTTGCCCAGACTGGAGTGCAGTGTTGAGATCTCAGCTCACTGCAACCTCCACCTTGCAGGTTCAAGCGATTCTCCTGCCTCTGCCTCTCGAGTAGCTGGGATTACAGGTGCCCGCCACTAAGCCCAGATAATTTTCTTGTAATTTTTAGTAGAGACGGGGTTTCAACATGTTGACCAGGCTAGTCTCAAACTCCTGACCTTGAATGATCTGCCCTCCTCTCGTTCCCAAAGTGCTGTGATTACAGGCATGAGCCACCACACCTGGCTGACAAAAATATTTTTAAAAATTCTCCTAATGGCTGTTTTGTTTTGTTTGTTTTTTGTTTTAGGATCTTGCTCTGTCACCCAGGCTGGAGTACAGCTGCACCATCACTGCTCACTGTAGCCTCAACCTGGTGGGCTCAAGTGATCCTCCCACTTCAGCCTCCTGAGTAACAGGGGACTACAGACATGCACCACCATGACCGGGTAATTTTTAAATTTTTTGTAGAGACTGGGGTTTTATTTATTTATTTATTTTTGAGAAGTCATCCAGGCTGGACTGCAGTGGCATGATCTCGGCTCACAGAACCTCTGCCTCCCAGATTCAAGAGATTCTACTTCCTCAGTCTCCCAAGTAGCAGGGACTATAGGCGCCCATCACCACGCCCGGCTAATTTTTCTTTTTTGGTTGTTGTTGTTTTTTGAGACAGAGTTTTGCTCTGTCTCCCAGGCTGGAGTGCAATGGCGCGATCTCCGCTCACTGCAACCCCGGCCTCCCGGGTTCAAGCAATTCTTGTGCCTCAGCCTTCTGAGTAGCTGGGATTACAGGTGCGTGCCACCACGTCCAGCTAAGTTTTGTATTTTTAGTAGAGACAGAGTTTCACCATGTTGGCTAGGCTGGTCTCGAACTCCTGACCTCACATGATCTGCCTGCCTTGGCCTCCCAAAGTGCTGGGATCATAGATGTGAGCCACTGCACTCTGTCTTCCCTCCCCCCCCCAGAGTCTCACTCTGTCACCCAGGCTGGAGTGCACTGGTGCAATCTCAGCTCACTGCAACCTCTGCCTCCTGGATTCAAGTGATTCTCCTGCCTCAGCCTCCCAAGTAGCTGGGATTACAGGTGCATGCCACCACACCCAGCTAATTTTTGTATTTTTAGTAGAGACAGCGTTTCACCATGTTGGCCAGGCTGGTCTCAAAGTCCTGACCTCAGGTAATCCACCTGCCTCAGCCTTCCAAAGTGCTGGGATTACAGATGTTAGCACAGCCCCTGATTGCTGTTTGAGATATATGTTAGTTTGGTTAATTTGTGCTGGATATGGAGATGCTCTTCTAGGCCAGAGAAGTATTAAAGAAAATGATCACCTTAAAAAGCTAATACAAAGGCTGGGTGCAGTGGCTCATGCCTGTGATCCCAGTATTTGGGAGGCTGTGGTGGGAGGATTACAGGAGCCTAGGAGTTTGAGACCTTCCTGGGCAACAAAGCAAGACCCCATTTCTACAAAAAATAAAAAAAATAGTAGCTGGGCACAGTGGTGTGCACCTATAGTCCCAGCTACTTGAGAACCCGAGGTGGGAGGATCACTTGATCCCAGGAGTTGGAGGCTGTAGTGAGTCATGATGTCCCACTGCACTCTTATCTGAATGACAGAGCTAGACTCTGTCTCAAAAAAAAGGTCCAGTGCGGTGGCTCACGCCTATAATCCCAGCATTTTGGGAGGCTGAGGTGGGCAGATCACCTGAGGTCAGGAGTTTGAGACCAGCCTGGCCAATATGGTAAAACCCCATTTCTACTAAAAATACAAAAAAATTAGCTGGGTGTGGTGGGTGCCTATAATCCCAGCTACTTGGGAGACTGAGGCAGGAGAACTGCTTGAACCCAGGAGGCGGAGGGTGCAGTGAGCTGAGATGGTGCCACTGCCCTCCAGCCTAGGAGACAGAGCAAGAAAAAAAAAAAAAGAAAAGTTAATTAAAAAATTGCATTGTACTTGAATTTCCTCAGGTATCACCAGTCTGTGGGTAAAAAAGGAGAGTAACATTAACGATTCAAGGCCGGGTGCAGCGGCTCAAGCCTGTAATCCCAACACTTTGGGAGGATGAGGCGGGGAGATCGAGACCATCCTGGCTAACACGGTGAAACCCCATCTCCACTAAAAAATACAAAAAATTAACCAGGCGAGGTGGCGGGCGCCTGTAGTCCCAGCTACTCGGGAGGCTGAGGCAGGAGGATGGTGTGAACTTGGGAGGCGGAGCTTGCAGTGAGACGAGATTGCGCCACTGTACTCCAGCCTGGGCGACCCAGCAAGACGCTGTCTCAAAAAAGATTCAGATTCCACTGGCTCTTGTTCCCATGGATTCACAGAAGAAGTTCAGCCCAATTTCAAAACTTCACATTTGCTTCTGGGAAGCCCATTCTGGAAAGTTTCCTATGGCCCCCGCCAGAAGGCAGCGCTACTTCGCCCAGCAACACAAGTCTCTGCAGCACCTGCCCCGGCAGCGCCAGTTGAGCCCCCGAAGCTGGGAAGGCTTAAGCTGATTCCTCTGCTGCACGTAGCTAAAAATGGTCATTTCTGTAGTTGCAGCTACAGATCTACGATAATCAATCTATATCCATATTTTATGGGGGTTTTTTGAGGCAAAGTCTTGCTCTGTGTCCCAGGCTGGAGTGCAGTGGCATGATCATCATTCACTTGTAGCCTTGACCTCCCTGGACTCAGGTGATCCTGCCACCTCAGCCTTCCAAGTAGCTGAGACCATAGGCATGTACCACTAAGCATGGCTAATTTTTCAATTTTTATTTTTTGTAGAGACAAGGTCTCCCTGGGTTTCCCAAACTGGTCTTGAATTCCTGGGCTCAAGCAATCCTCCTGTCCCGGCATCCTGAAGTGTTGGGACTACATACCTGAGCCACTGCGCCCAGCCCTTTTTGTTTTTGTTTTGTAAAGGTAACTTCCCAGTGGAATCCTCAAGATTTCTTCATGTTTTTGGAAAAATGAGCTACATTTGAAATTGTTTTCCTCTTTGGAATTTAATGGTATTCATTACATTACATAGCTATGCTGAGCTCTATTACACTAAAAAGTAGGCTAATTGTCTTAACTTTGATAGTAATGACATTAAATGTGTGAAGATTATATTTGGAATAAAGCACTTGGATTCATTCGTTTCTTCAGTAAATATTTATTGAGCACTAGTATGTTCCAGGGAGTGTCTGTCTACATTCTGGGGACAAGTGATAACAAAATCCCTGTCCTCGTGGTGAGTTAACAATCAACAAACTAACAAACATTTAATTTATGTCATCAACTCATTTCCACAAAGATAATAACATCTTGACTTCAAGTTTTCTGAGTTTCTGGTCTAAAGAATTGTGACCTTCAAGAGCTCAAATCATTTGTTGGGGAGAGAGGCCAGTGACACATTTTTTCCTTTACAATGAAAGTACCTGTAAAAAGAGGAAGAGAAACTCTGAGGGTAAAGATAAAAAACGCTGAAATCTTCTTTCTGGATTTCAGATACAGTCTCTCACCCTAATTGATGCAATTTACACACCATGCGTCTCCTTCCCTAGGACCTTCTCCAGTTCTTGGGGACTACAGATGAACTTACTTTTAATACATTTTATGGCATTTGGAGGCCCTCCAGTGGACAAATACTATACCTGAAAAAAATCCTTTTGTATGCTAAAGTGTTCAGGTGTGAAGTGTACTCATGTTTGCAACTTACTTTGAAATACATATTTTAAAAGATGGAGTAATGGATGAATAGTGATGCATAGATCATTAGATGTCATAAAAATAACAATGTTAGTTGTAGAATCTAGATGATGAGTATATTATGACTCACTGTATAATTCTTTCAACTTTTCTGTTTGAACATTTGATAATAAAATATTGAATAAAAATCTCTTTGCTAAAGATTAATGCCTTTAGTTCACATTATTGAAAATTTTGCTGAGATAACATGTAAATTACTTTCAAAAATCATCTTAAAAATTGTCTTAATAAACATGGATTTTTTTTTTTTTTTTAAATTTTTGAGACAAGGTCTTACTCTGTCACCCAGGCTGGAATGCAGTGGTATGATCATGGCTCACTGCAGCCTTGACCTTCCAAGCTCAAGAGATCCTCCCATCTCAGCCCTCCGAGTAGCTAGGACTACAGACTAATTAAAAAATTAACCCAGCTAATTAAAAAAAAAATTTTTTTTTGAGTTGGAGTCTTGCTCTGTTGCCCAGGCTGGAGTGCAGTGGTGTGATCTTGGCTCACTGCAACCTCTACCTCCTGGGTTCAAGCAATTCTCCTGCCTCAGCCTCCCTAGTAGCTGGGATTAGAGATGTGTGCCACCACACCTGGCTAACTTTATTTTCTGTAAAGATGGGGTTTTGGCATGTTGGCCAAGCTGCCCTCGAACTCCTGACCTCAAGTGATCCACCTGCGTCAGCCTCCCAGAGTGCTGGGATTCCAGGCATGAGCCACTGCACCAAGCCTTAAAAATGTTTTCGTAGAGACGAGGTATCACTATCTTGCCCAGGCTGGTCTTGAACTCCTGGGCTCAAGCAATCCTCTTGCCCCAGACTCCCAAAGTGCTGGGATTACAGGTATGAGTCACTGCACCCTGCCTGGATTAATTTTTAAATGCCTGAAAAACACTTATTTTTAGAAAGTTTAGACAATGTAAATGTGAAATAGCTCTATGAATTCTTTGTTTGAAAAAAGGCTTATCTTCCTGGAATATCTGTTTTATGAACTCAGGCAATTGTTAACAAGTTAACTGAATTTACTTTGCTTTTTACATTAGAGAGGCAATCGTTTGAGAATTATTGACAATAATTTTTCTTAGGGAGATGCATTGGTCTGGGTTCAATGCAGAGGCAAAATCTACCCTTAGCTGGTGTAAGCCAAAAGGGACTTACTGCATGGTATATTATAAAATTTGTCAGGTTAAAGAAACAGCATATAAGGACTTTGGGAGGCCGAGGTGGGCAGATCACAAGGTCAGGAGTTTCAGACCAGCCTGGCCAATGTGGTGAAACCCTGTCTCTACTAAAAATACAAAAATTAGACAGGAGTGGTGGCAGGCACCTGTAGTCCCAGCTACCCAGGAGGCTGAGGCAGGAGAATCACTTTAACACGGGAGGCAGAGGTTGCAGTGAGCCAAGATTGCGACACTGCACTCCTGCCTGGGTGGCAAAGTGAGACTCCATCTCAAAAAAAAAAAGAAATAGTGTATAGGCTGAGCTTCAGGAGTGACTCACAAATCTACTCTATAGACCTGGGCTGTCAAAACATGCTGTTGATGTCAGGATCCGGAAGCCAGCCCTACAGCTGCTAGTTCCAGAGCCACGTTGCCTTTCCTATAAAACACTCCATCAAGAAAGATGCCTCATAATCTGTCTCTCTGCC